GGTTAGGGTAGGGTTAGGGTTAGGGTTAGGGTTAGGGTAGGGTTAGGTTAGGGTTAGGGTTAGGGTTAGGGTTAGGGTTAGGGTTAGGGTTAGGGTTAGGGTTAGGGTTAGGGTTAGGGTTAGGGTTAGGGTTAGGGTTAGGGTTAGGGTTAGGGTTAGGGTTAGGGTTAGGGTTAGGGTTAGGGTTAGGGTTAGGGTTAGGGTTAGGGTTAGGGTTAGGGTTAGGGTTAGGGTTAGGGTTAGGGTTAGGGTTAGGGTTAGGGTTAGGGTTAGGGTTAGGGTTATGTTCCCGCCTGGCCTTTGGTGGAATTTCCACAAAAGGCCACTGGCCTTTTGTGGATCGATGTCATTTTGTGGAATATGGCCTTTTGTTGATCAATGGCCTTTTGTTTAAGGTGTTTCCCCCCCCCCCCACCCCCCCCCAGGGGGTGGGGGTCAACCCTCTGATCTCAATACATTACTGGATGGTTAATTCGATATATATAACCGATTTAGACCGTATTTTTCACATCTAATATCTTCTTGTCCCATTAGACTCATGGTTGTATTCCCATTTTTGTTAGAGACCACACCTACCAAAGTTGTAGAGTACATCACGCTGATAATTTTTGCTTAATATATGTTCAAGAAAAAATCAGTACTTCATGGTGAAAATGGGTTCCGAAAAGTGAAAATATGCCGATTTTGGATCCGTTTTTCTCTGGGAATAAGATATTTTTTTAAATATTTCCAGCGTTCCTGGTACTCCGTAAGGTGTAGTATATGTGTGTGAAATTTGGTTTGAGAATGTTTAATTTAAGGGGGAGAAACCTTTGTCCGCACATTGGAATGCGGCCACCAAAAAAGTTATCTTTTTTCCAGATTAACATATGTAAATTTTTTTTGGTGGTATATTATCAATCTCAATGCGTAGATAATTTTTGCTTAATATATGTTCAAGAAAAAATTAGTACTTCATGGTGAAAATGGGTTCCGAAAAAGTGAAAATATGCCGATTTTGGATCCGTTTTTCTCTGGGAATAAGAGATTTTTTTGAAATACTTCCAGCGTTCCTGGTACTCCGTAAGGTGTAGTATATGTGTGCCAAATTTGGTTTGAGAATATTTAATTTAAATGGGAGAAACCTTTGTCCGCACATTGGAATGCGGCCACCAAAAAAGTTATCTTTTTTCCAGATTAACATATGTGAATTTTTTTTGGTGGTATATTGTCAATCTTAATGCGTAGATCATTTTTGCTTAATATATGTTCAAGAAAAAATTAGTACTTCATGGTGAAAATGGGTTCCGAAAAAGTGAAAATATGCCGATTTTGGATCCGTTTTTCTCTAGGAATAAGACATTTTTTTGAAATATTTCCAGCGTTCCTGGTACTCCGTAAGGTGTAGTATATGTGTGCCAAATTTGGTTTGAGAATATTTAATTTAAATGGGAGAAACCTTTGTCCGCACATTGGAATGCGGCCACCAAAAAAGTTATCTTTTTTCCAGATTAACATATGTGAATTTTTTTTGGTAGTATATTGTCAATCTCAATGCGTAGATCATTTTTGTTTAATATATGTTCAAGAAAAAATTAGTATTTCATGGTGAAAATGGGTTCCGAAAAAGTGAAAATATGCCGATTTTGGATCCGTTTTTCTCTAGGAATAAGATATTTTTTGAAATATTTCCAGCGTTCCTGGTACTCCGTAAGGTGTAGTATATGTGTGCCAAATTTGGTTTGAGAATATTTAATTTAAATGGGAGAAACCTTTGTCCGCACATTGGAATGCGGCCACCAAAAAAGTTATCTTTTTTCCAGATGAACATATGTGAATTTTTTTTGGTGGTATATTATCAATCTCAATGCGTAGATCATTTTTGCTTAATATATGTTCAAGAAAAAATTAGTATTTCATGGTGAAAATGGGTTCCGAAAAAGTGAAAATATGCCGATTTTGGATCCGTTTTTCTCTAGGAATAAGATATTTTTTTGAAATATTTCCAGCGTTCCTGGTACTCCGTAAGGTGTAGTATATGTGTGCCAAATTTGGTTTGAGAATATTTAATTTAAATGGGAGAAACCTTTGTCCGCACATTGGAATGCGGCCACCAAAAAAGTTATCTTTTTTCCAGATTAACATATGTAAATTTTTTTTGGTGGTAGATTGTCAATCTTAATGCGTAGATCATTTTTGCTTAATATATGTTCAAGAAAAAATTAGTACTTCATGGTGAAAATGGGTTCCGAAAAAGTGAAAATATGCCGATTTTGGATCCGTTTTTCTCTGGGAATAAGATATTTTTTTGAAATATTTCCAGCGTTCCTGGTACTCCGTAAGGTGTAGTATATGTGTGCCAAATTTGGTTTGAGAATATTTAATTTAAGGGGGAGAAACTTTTGTCCGCACATTGGAATGCGGCCACCAAAAAAGTTATCTTTTTTCCAGATTAACATATGTGAATTTTTTTTTTTTGGATATTATGAATCTCAATGCGTAGATCATTTATGCTTAATATATGTTCAAGAAAAAATAGGTGCTTCATGGTGAAAATGCGTACCGAAAAGTAAAATTATCCTAATTTTGGATCCGTTTTTCTCTGGAACTAAGATATTTTTTTAAAATAATTCCAAAGGGTTTGGTACTCCGTACCGTATAATATATGTGTGCCAAACTTGGTTTTGAAATATTTAAGTTAAGGTGGAGAAAACTTTGTCCGCACCTTGAACTTTCCACGAAAAAAGTAATTTTTTCCACATTAACATATGTTAATTTTTTTTGGTGGTATATTATGAATCTTAATGCGTAGATGATTTTTGCTTAATATATGTTCAAGAAAAAATAGGTACTTCATGGTGAAAACGCGTACCAAAGTTTAGAAGTTTACTAGCCTTGTGTGACCTCAGATTTTCGCCAAATCCTTTGAAACTTCGCACACGTGGTTAAAAGAACGTCTAGTTTAAGACCATAAAAAAATTTATATTAAAGTGGCTCTGCAAGGTTGGTTAATGAATGAAATTCCTTAAAAATCAATAAAATTTAACATTGGTACAAAACGAAAATATAGGCATGAAAGAGTGTATAAAGAGGAAGACTCGATTCAAAAATCGGTCGTCTAGAGCCTCGTTTTGAGCCCAAACCAAACCCTAACAAATAAGGCACGTTTATGACATGTATATTTAATCTACAATTACCAAACTTAGCACAAGGGTTGCCCAAAAAAATGTTAACCAGCACAAGAAATATGAGCGTTTTTACTCAAATAGTAGCCCCTCTAGAGCAACTCGCCTTAGTCCCCCAAAACTCTTTTTTGCCCAGGTGACAGGCGAAAATCGGTAAACACCAAACTTACACATATGGTAGATGACTTCATTTTGATTGTCCCCAAAAAGCGATGACGTCACTTAAGGTGGCTCCGGTGTGTTTTTAGCAAAAAAAAAAAAGTCATCAAAAACGTTCAGTGAGGTATCATATGAAAGCTCTATGAATGATAAAACGAACTGTCGTGGTTAGAGTGAAAAATATTGTAATCCGGCCCAGAAATCTTTGCAAACGTAATTAATTTTGATTTTTGGGCCATGTTTACGAGTCTTTTTAAGGCATTAGAATTTCTTTAAATCCTCCAAATTTTCGCTGAGATGGTTAACGGAACATCTAGTTTATTACAAAGTTGATTGATAAAAAAGTTATGTTAAAGTGGCTCTGCACATTGAGCTTGAAATTGGAAAAACATTAGGCAGTGTAAATCATTGAATTTTTAACTGGGCGCAAAAAAAACGTATAGGCATGTAGGAGCATACAACATTGAAGACTCGATTCAAAAATGCGGTAGCCCACAGCCTCGTTATCAAACCGTACAGTTCAAGACGTATTTTGTTCTTTAATGACGTATCTTTTTATGCATTCTTCACGAAACTTAGTACACGGCTTGCCCGAGGTAATGTTTAGTACCACCTAAAACACCAACTTATTTACTTTAATAATAGCCTATCTAGAGCAATTCGCCCTAGTCTCCCAATGCTCGGTTTTACTTAAATGGAAGAAAATTAATGAAAAAAGTCTAGAATTCAGTGTGCATATAGCACTTGTACAACTATACGTGAATAACAAAAAAAAATTTTTGAATGTATATGAAGGGTATCCAGGGGGGAGTGGAAGTCTTTTTTTTTTTTTTTTGACCTTGAACGAGACAAAAACGACAGAACATAAAATCCTTTATGTCAACAGTAGACATAAAAAAGAGGTTTAAAAAAATGTATAGTGACGTCATTCTAACGCTCGTCCCAGGCCTCTACGTTTAAAATAATTTTAAAATATAAATGAACGTAGCTCCTTACCACCTTAAGTAAAATTTATTTTTAAAGCTGCATTCGATAGAGCGTTTGACGCTCTATAACATACTTTAGTATGAAACTAATCCAGGGGGGGGAAGTTACCGAAATATGTAAAAAACAAAATGTATGGTTTTGCGCATGCGCAAAAAAGCAGGAAGAACGCACTAAATTTTTTCAACGATGCCAGAATCAGAAGCAGGATAGTCTGATGCATCCCTGTGCAAAATTTCAGATCAATTGGCCGCTTAGAAGTGGTTGAAAAACACGAAATAGTAAGTTACAAAAAAAATTTTTTTTGGCTGTCTGAGATGAGCGTAAGGTGGAGAAGTTGTAAATGTACTTCTACCTCATTTTTTGGTCAACCCCAGCTTTCTAAAATTATTAGAAAATTAGGGTTTGTGCAGGGTGAAAGAGGAGGCCAAGAGGTACCCGGCCCTTCAACTACCGAAGCCAGGCCTCGTAACGCAAAAAAGTTTGTGAGCGTGGCCTTTCGTGGAATTTTTCGATATTTTCTTAAGTGGAGGAGCCACTTTAAGGTAACTTCACCCAAGTTTTGGTGGGAGCATAGCTGACCCCCTGGGCTACATTTCCACCAAAAAAAATTTTTGAAAAAAAAGCAAAGTATAACGCGTGGGTGAAATTTTGTCCGTTCCACCAAAGGCCCGGGAACATAGTTAGGTTTTCGTGCCGGTCTGGGGCTGACAGCAATACATAAAACTTGAAATGCGCTTCAGCGAAGTCATTTATTTTTAAATCGATTTTGTTTTCGAATATACTATCAAGAACTTCCGTAACCATAAGGTTTATTCCGGCTTAAAACATGTTATAAAATATAAAGTAGCATACATTTTAAATAAAACGGTATTAAGGGTGCTGTCGGTCATTATTATATGTCTATGATGTGCACTGAATAGTTTTCTACATTTTATTAGCTAGGCGTTTCTCTTTTCTAATTAACGATTTGTATTTGTCTCTAATTTGTTGTTTTGTGAATTCTTTTGCAGAAGGACACAACTTCCAAAAATCGCCGTTGTCCAATGCTCTGATTAATAGCTTTATGGGTAAGTTCTCGTCTCGTCGCAATTGGAAACTGCGGTTATAAATTGTTCTTCTTCGGTGGCAGACATTTTTCGCCTTGTTCGTCTTGTTGCAAACCTGGCTGAACGTGGCTGATCTGATGGTTGTTGAAGAGAACCAGATTTATTCGGGTCTTCGATTGACCTCGCTGATGAGCTGTGATGGGCTTCCGCTGCTGCGAGAGAACTTTCATGACCGAAATTTTGAATGAACTGGTAAGCGTTAACTTCATTCTCAGATTTATCGAACAGAGCGCAGGCATGCATTGCAAACATCCGCTATGCACCGACTTCTCCGTATGTATTTCCCATTTTTAGGAAACTGTCGCTGGTGATATTAAAAAAGTGTTGTTCGCGTCTTGAACAATCGTTTTGATTAATTAATTAGTCACGAACCTAACTCTCTTTTATTGACGTCAACGTCGACACGTGCATGGATATATTATCACTTCAATCATAAACATAAATACGAAAGTGCCATTGTAATACATTATTTTGAACTAAAACGATTGTATTTTTTGTCAATGTCTCTAAAAAGGGGGTTCGGCACCACTTAAAAATAGAATGAGTACAAAGCGCCAGTCATGCAAAAAGTTATTCAGTGATGTTTCTGACGACAATTTTACACATGGTGTCAATTCAATTCAATTCTTTATATTCTTATGTTAGATTCATGGTCGGACCCGCAGTGGTTGGCCTAGGCTGTTGTGATCACCAGTCACAATTTTCAGGTATAAGTCCCCGCCCGCCCGCCCTGCCCTGTCTAGCCCCAAGCCTCGCTCTCTGCCTTATTCTGGCTCGGCCATTTATGCGCATGTCAGTAAACGTGTTCGATTTATATTATGAAATAAGGGCAAAGAAAAAATGAACTTCTGGAAACTTTTCTTAAATAGGAACTCTTTGCACGGGAAATGTATTGCTCCTACGCTGATGTTCAAATAAAGTAGGAGTGTACTATGGATTATACGCTTTCCCCCATGCTCTGAAACTATGTACAATTAAGCGACTCTGAAATGCAACAATCACGCTGAAGTTTGAACTGTATATTTTGTTATTATAATATGTTTAATCATTCAATGCTTAAATAATTACGTTATAATTAATAACGTTATATCCGTAGAGTGTTCGTGAAGAGTGTCACTATTTAAAATCTGTACATGTAAATTAATTTGAAGATGATTACTAATTACTAAATGAAGTCCAGCGAATGGCTTTCAATCAACAAAAACGAAAAATTCAAACTGAGTTGAAATTAAACTTAGTTACAATGATGGGTTCTATATACACACACAAATATTTTAGGAAACCGGGTCTCAATTTGTTGAAAATACATTACAGTGTACCTATACTATGTACAACATGCATATGATCAAAGCTCTTCTCAACAGAACTAACCGTGCAATGTTTTCTCGAATCAGTCAAGCAGCGCCACTCCACTCCTTACGATGTTGTGTGGACCAGTTACAATCCTCGCTGTACACCAGCCATTTGGCGATCTCTATCATATTCGCTGGTAGTTCCTTATTGTGCTCGTCGTCCAAGAGCAAGGGAATCCAGTATTGTCGCAAGCTGCCGTAATTCACGAATACCTCTGTTGGCTCGTACGACGATGGGAATCGATGTTTCGTCCTGAGCACCAGCTGATCACCTTTGACGTGAAATACCGCGTTGCACTGTTCGTTAAGTTCGTTTTCGATCGCGATCCAGTTGTCAGCTGACATTTCTGGCTGGTCTTTCGCTGAGATCGCCTTTATCTGGGCGAACGCTTGCGACACGCCCGGCTGGTTAGCAAATCTCCCAAGATTATTCGGTCGTTCTCTCTCCGCGTCGAAGTGCAGACATTTTCTCGAGGTGGTGATCAGGTACACACGAGAACTTTTACTCTTTTCTACATCCTCCAGGCTCGTGCTCTTTTCGGCGTACACGCACAGGTGCGCATCTTTGGGTATCGCTTTGTGCGGTTTCAGGAAGAGACCACGGCCAGCACCAGGGATGTTGCTTTTTCCCACGTAGCATTTACTCTCCCAAAAGAGCGTGCATGGAACCAGCTGGAGGAAAAATTGGTCGGTGGTTTCACTCTCTGGAATCCCGCCGGTCATTTCGTCGCCACCATGAGCAGCGGAAACCTTTTCGTCTGGTCTCCAAGCTGTCCCGGGGTCGATTGGGGCATTAAGAATTTCCCGTTTGTCTTGGTAGACGCGGTCGTGATCGTTTTTCCTGCCAATTCTGCGAATGTCCCACGGTCTGAATGGATAGGTGAAGGCCTCGTCCGGCAGATTGAAAATGCCCCTCTTGTCGGCGATGGCTTCTCGCATTGAAGCGTCGATCGCTGCTTCTACACCGGTCGTGTAGAAGGACATGGTGTGTCCGCTACTCGCCAGACTCTCTGCGAAGTTGCGAATCTTTCCGTCCTGGCCTTTGGCGAAGATATTTAGGAGCCTGCGGCCATGGTGGTCAGTTGGCACCGCGATTCCCTCTTCAATGTAAACTTGCAGGTAAACTTCTTGAGCGGCGAACAGCAAGCTCCTTGCAGCCCGCATGCATTCGATGCCGACGTGGCGTGTGAGGAACAGAGACATTTCGGTGGAGTTTTCAGCCTGTTTGTATATGCTGAAAGAATACTCGGTCTCCGGGCTGTCCGAATTAAGCATTCGAACTCTGATCGACTCGCCGTGATTGTGCGTCGCCAATCGAAGCAGCTCGGGCTCGCTGTCCACCGTAAGCGAGATCTCGCAGGAGTCGCCATCATATAGGTGAACGGAGGATTTCTCGACGCGGATCAAGCGACCTTTGGTGCAGTCTGCCGCCGGGATTGACCATGATGTCGGCAGCGGATCTTGTAACCCCCTCTCGCGGAGATATGGTTCAAGGTATTTCAGGGTCGACGTCAATACAGTCGTCGGTGGCGCCATAGCGAGGGTAGGGACACTGAACAGCGGGGTGGTGTTGGCGAAATAAAACCATCGTTGTAAATTGGAGCTGCTTAGCCCGGCGAATTGTGTACGCAGGGTTTGCGCATACAGTTCGGTGCTTTCGCAGTGCATCGGTCTGTCCTTCAATAACACTGGCTGCCGTTCGTGGTCGTCCGACTCCAGGCCTTCGTAATAGCTAAACGGAAATATCATGCATGCAGTTATATGTTTTGGTTTTGGATCATAACATTAATATCCTGCCTCAAGAGGCTAAAGTCTACTACTGCATGGAAAAGAATTGTCGAGTTGATATTGTCGAGGTAACACTGATGGAAATTCAGCGCGAACGAAATGAGGCTACCCGTACACGTATATGCCCGAACCTGGGTATCTTACAGTGATTACAGCCAAAACGAACGCTACGCGATAACAATAAGCAAAGGAGTGAAGAATTCTATAACTAATACCTCGAGTAACTTTCGTCGAACTTCACAACGTCGTCGCAATTTTCACAGGCACATCGCAGCAGTTCTTCCTTGTAGCGCTGGTAATGCAAGTCGTCGATTTCGCTCGCCAAGTCTTCGCAGAACCTGGTCGTATTTCCGTCTTTCGTCCCACCGTAGGACCGCACTATATTACCAATCAGGTGGTGGACGCAGGTCGTGATTGCGTTTGGCGTTATAGCAAGGTGGAATATCTTCTCTGCGACCGAAAGTTCGTCGTCATTCGAGAGGTCGTGCCAATGATGTTTAAGGCCGTTGACCAATGGCGGAGCCAATCGGTTTCGCCATCGATCCATCACCAACCAGAAGAAATAGATCTCAGCAGAATTCGGTGGTTTGTCTCTGAGAGCTTTGGCGTATTTCTGTATCAATTGTACCTGTGTTTTGCTGGCGGGTTCGTGAGTCTGCGCTGTGAGTTTTTGTCGTGGCTCGTTCACATCGATTCGAAGGCTCAGAGGTGGTGGTGGTGTTGTTGTTGGTGGTGGTGGAGATGATGTGTTTGTGGAAGCAGGCGGCGAACTGCTCTGAGAAGCCGACGATGGGCTGTTCGGTGGAGGCAACGGCAAAGGTGGCGGAGGAGTGTTCGCAGTTGGCCTCGGCGCGATCTTTCGCGGTGGCATTTTTCCGCTTTCGTGCTCGGCTGGACGTTTCCGTGAGCTCTGGAACGATGCGGTTTGTCGTCTCCGTTCCTGGCGATCGGTTACGTTCGGCTTCCTAACGTGACCAGGTTTGCCTTTTCCTAGTCCTTTCCCACGTGAGACGTTCCCCGTTTCCCTGCTCGTCCCCTCCCCAAGACTATCGTCGTCGCGTCTCCCCGTCGTCACATCGGGTAAGTTTTCCAGTTTCTTGTCAATGTTCGTCCGACCGAAAACTCCTGTATATCACGTAGAAATTCAAAGCAGCGATATGAATAATGGGGAAAAAGTTGAAGCGCGGTGCTATGATCAATACACAATATTCAGGTCAGTGATATTTCGCGGTCTCTATTTCAAAGTCATTCTCATTGTCTGATTCCAATTCTCCGAACGGTGATGGAAATTATTGGCAAACAAAATATCAATATTGTTGTAAACGAAGTAATTAAAGTCTCTTGCATGATCACGATTTTATCAACTTGAGGCTAGACGCCGGCCGGAAATGTGACATGAAAATTTTTTTAAAAAACTCGTATCTTGAGTGAACTGTTTAATTTTGGAGTATATGTTTGATATCAGTATAGTAATACTGCTCTGATTTTCCGAACGGTGATAGAAATTATTGGCAAACAAATATCGATATTTTTGTAAACGAAGTAAAGTCATTCGGATTTGCATGATAATGAATTTGAAATAGATAATAAATATATGTTTATATATATATATGAATGATTAACATTGATATTAACATTGATAAATTAAACAAAGTGAGGGCCGTATGTAAAACTAAAACAAAATTAATACTGGTTTCCTAAAACTATAGTCACCCATATATCATACGGTATTATTTGAAACTAACCCGAGTCCTTCGCGAAAAGCGAAATGTAAAAGGCGCGAACGAGTTCTGTGAAAACACGCAAACTTCTTTTGTTGTCTCCGAGAGTTTTTACGTTCTTCTTTATAGATTTATGAATCTCTTCGACATAACGAAGAACACTTGCTTCCATCGTAAAGCTCGAGGTGAACGGATTAAAGAGTAAAGTGTGACTGTCTAAAGCTTAGGCCGATAGGATTTAGGTGATGCGCTGACGCCAACGGGTCAAATGACGTTTGCATTGGCAAGGCGAGTCAAATCGTTACCAGCGAGTCTCATATAGATATCGTATTACATTGTGTAAAAAAACGCGTAGATTTGCCTAGTGTATAAAAAAGTCTTTTTTTTACCAAAATCGGTGCCATGCAAACAAGTTTAAGCGACGATAAAATATTGTCAAATGACCGAAGAAAAACAATCCTATTTTGTGTAATATAAATAAGCGGCATGTATCGCCTATCGGAATTGCTTGTCTAAGAATAAAGCGAGGGAAGGGCTGGTTGTGTTCAAAGCACTTATGTTC